TCTATACTGAAGAGTACTGAAAACCTGTCCATATGAATTTCTAGGTTTTTTTCTATTTCTGTAAAGAACACCATTGGGATTTTGATAAGGACTGTAATAAACCTGTAGATCACTTTGGGTAGTATAGACATTTAAAAATATTAATTCTCCCTAACCATGAACACAGGATGGTTTTCTCTTTATCTGTGCCTTCTTTAATTCCCTTCGTCGATATTTCAGTGTATAAGTCTTTCACCTCTTTGGTTAAGTTTATTCCTAAGTATTTTATTCTTTTTCTCCTAATGTAAACACAAAAGATTCTGAATAGCCAGTGCAATTTTGAGCAAAAAGAACAAAGCTGGAGGCATCACACTTCCCGATTTCAAACTATATTACAAAGCTACAGTTACCAAAATGGTATGGTATTGGCATAAAAAAGACATATAAACATATGAACAGAATAGAGAGCCCACAAATAAATCTGTGCATTTATAATCAACTAGACTACAACAAGAATGCCAAGAACACACGGTAGAAAAAAGACAGTCTCTAATAAATGGTGCTGGAAAAACTGGATATCCACATGCATAAGAATAATGGAATTTTATTCAGCCTTAAGAAAGAAGGAAATCCTGACATCTGTGACAACATGGATGAACTTAGAGAACATTAAGTGAAATAAGCCAGACACAGAAAGACAAATATTGTATGATCTTACTTACATGTGGAATCTAAAATAGTTAAACAACAAGAAGGAGAGTAGAAGGTGGTTACCAGGGGTGGGAGGGAAGGGGAAATAGGAAGATGTTGGTCAAAGGGCACAAAGTTTCAGTTCTGCAAAATGAGTAAGTTCTGGAGATGGTGACTATAGTTAACAATACTATATCGTACACTTGAAATTTGCTAAGACGGTAGATCCTAAGTGTCCTCACCATAAAAAGGATGTCATAACAATGTTTTAACAATATAATTATAGCAGCATTATTCATAATAGCCAAAAGATGGAAACAACTCAAATGCCCATCAGCTGATGAATGGATAAACAAAAGGTAGGCTATCCATACAATGGAGTACAGTCTGGCCATAAAAAAGGAATGAGGTAGTGACACATACTTCAACACTGAAGCAACTTGAAAATATAATGCTGTATCAAAGAAACCAAACACTAAGTCCTCACATTTTATGATTATATTTATATGCAATGTCAAGAACAAGGAAATTTATAGACATAAAAAACAGATTAGTGGCTGCCACCGGCTGAGGAATAAGAAGAGGGAGTGACTGCGAATGGACATAGAGCTTCTTCCTGGAGTGATGAGAATGTCGTAGAATTAGTGCTAATGGTTGCACAACTCTTTGACTATCCTAAATACCACTGAATTACATACCCTTAAAATGTGTGAATTTTATCGTATGTGAATTCTAGTTCAATAAGCTAGTATTAAAAAGAATAATCTCTCTTTTTTTTTAAAGATTTTATTTATTTATTTGAGACAGAGAGAATGAGAGAGAGCACGAGAGGGGGGGGGTCAGAGGGAGAAGCAGACTCCCCGCCGAGCAGGGAGCCTGATGCGGGACTCGATCCCGGGACTCCAGGATCATGACCTGAGCCGAAGGCAGTCGCTTAACCAACTGAGCCACCCAGGCGCCCCAAAAAGAATAATCTCTTAAATCTCTTAAAAAGAATAATATCTCACTTCTAACAGACGATTTGACCAGCCTGTGCAAGCCACAGTTCTCCCACATCCCCCCCACACTTCCCACATTCACTTTTTGTTAATCTGAAAGTTATTAATGCTTGAGAAACCCAGAAACACAGAGGGTTAAAAATGAAATTTGGAACTTAGCTATCAGACACGTTTTGAAAGGGTGCATGTCGCTGGAGAAAATAAACTGAATTGGTAGATTTAAGAGGATTGAACTAAAGACAGTCTAGGAAGCGGTTAAAAGGCAAATGTTTTTGCATAATATGGTTAACATCAGTTGTTATTCTATAAAGACTGATTAAATCTATCCAAATTTGAGGGGACGGAAGTGAGTCATTCTAATGAAGCAGGAAGAGTTATAAATATGAGCTGCATGCATTTAAACATGTGTACAATAGTTCCTGATTGCAACTGGGAGAAAGCTTCCATCAATAACTTTATGAGCCATATCACAATGCAGTGGAGAAAAGATAGTAACATAAGAACCTGAGGTGAAACTGAAAGCATTCATGCTTGCTACTGTTTAGAGCAAGGCTCCAAACTTTTCTGTAAATAGCCAGATAGTAAATATTTTAGGCTTTATGGGCCATATAACTATAAAAATTAATAAAGGGAAACCTCACTAAAATGGAATTGGGAGGCCAGAAGAAGGAGCTCTCACGCCCTGCCACTAGACTTCAATTACAGGAAGAAACGCGGATTGGAAAGAATCATCAGTTACAGGTCCCAAGGGGAAAAGATGTTACCTTGCAACTCCTGTAAGAAATCGACTGCCCCAGCAACTCAGCCAACAACAAACCGTCATCATCCTGAACTCCTGCTTTTCTTCAATGGACTTTCCTTCAAAATAACCACTCCCAACTTCCTCCTCCTCCTCCATAAAATGAGGTTCCTCTCTTTGGTTGTTGGACTAGCCTATGGTTTCTGCCATAGCTTGTTTGTCCCGAATTACAGTTCTCCGCTATTCCCAAATAAACCCAGTTTGGCTGGTAAAATATCTTATTTTTTGTAAGATTTTATTTATTTATTTGAGAGAGAGAGAGAGAGAGAGCACGCACGAGAGGGGGTAGGGTCACAGGGAGAAGCTGAGCGCGGGGAGCCGGATGTGGGGCTCGATCCTGGGACTCCGGGATCATGACCTGAGCCCAAGGCAGACACTTAACCGACTGAGCCACCCAGGTGTCCCTTTAACTGTCTTATTTTTAAAGTTAACACAGCTCTCTCATACCCATTCAACTTTGCCTTTGTAGCACGAAAGCAACCATAGACAACAGACAATAAAAGCAGCCATGTTCCAACGGTAGTTTACTTTAAAAAACAGGCAGCAAGCCAGATTTGGCCTGTGGAGCACAGTCAGCCAACCCCAGTTTAGGGGACAAGGACAAAAGTTATGTGAGTAGTGAGAAAGACAGAAACTGGCCTGGGACTCACAGGTATTCCTCAGACTTCAACTTGTCTGCTCCACACCAGCAGTTGGAGGCCTAGGCCAGTTAAGTATCATCAGTTTCAAATTTGAAAATTCTGCTCAACCTTCAGGTTCTGGCCCATGTTACTATCATAGGAAAAGACCTTGCTACCTGGCTGGAAGTAAAAACACTGTCCTCTGAGTTTCTATATCACGTTCTTATAGATCTTTTTTTTTTTTTTTTTTAAGATTTTTTATTTATTTGAGAGAGAGGACGAAAGCGGAGTGAGGAGCAGAGGGAGAAGCAGGCTCCCCACTGAGCAGGGAGCCCGACGCGGAGCTCGATCCCCGGACTCCAGGATCATGACATGCATGAGCCGAAGGCAGCCACTCAACTCACTGAGCCACCCAGGCACCCCGTTATAGATCTCTTTCAACACATTTTGCACTTTTCTTAAACCAATACTGTTGGTTTGTAGGTTTTACACTTCCTTAGTACATAAAAAAAATTCTTACTGGGCGGAGCATTGGAGGAAAGGCGGAGGCATCGCTGTCTGCACCGGAGGACCAGGAACCGACCAGGAACCGGTTGCCCTAGGCCAAGGCAGGGGCGACGCGGGCTGTGTCCCAGCCGGGCTGCCACCACTCCCGCGCGGCGTCTGCAGTCGGCACGCTGTCAGCGGGGGCTCCACGAGGGAGCAGAAGCGAGCCTACAGCAGGAGCTGAGCGGCGCCACCTGCGTCCCAGCCCCGCCCCACTACGCCACCAGCGCCGCCCACGCAGAACCCCCCCTCCCCGTGACTGCGCAAGGGCATGGTGGGGCTGCAGTGGCAGGATATGTCCCTACTGTGCCAGCTGTGGGCCTGTACGAGTCACTCCGGACCACAAGCACCTGGGCCGAGACCCGAGCCTGTGCCCGGACCTGTTGTCCTCCCTACATTCAGGCACCTGCTAACGCTATCTGCTGGCCTATCTGATGACGACAAGCCTCCTGATGCGAGCCTACCCCCACACCCGCCACCCCTCACTGTGCCCGCAACACATAATGCCTGCGACCAGTGGCTGCAGGATGCCCTTCACGTCGGCCGCTGACAAGTTGGGGGGCAAGGGGCATGCACTTGTGCAAAAGGCTGAGAAACTCACCCCTCAGCAAGTAGTTAAGACTATAGTGGCTAGATTCCTCCACAGCACCTCACCTCACAGTGGGGCAAGGCCTCAGAGGCCAAACTGCCAAGCCCCTCCCTTCTGTCTTGGGTTAACTATGGCATGGGGCTACAGCCTCTGTCGGTGAGGCACTGGACTTCCACTCGTCCCACATGTGCGCATCCCAGCTTGGCCAACCTTCAGCCTAGCGGTGAGTCCCAAAGCATCTTGCACTCCTTTCAGCATCTCTGAGATTGGGACAAGTGCCTGATTCCTACCTCCTTTTCACTTTTTGCTGCTATCGGCAGCTACTGGCTCAGGGGCATCCCCCCTCTGGTTGCTGGGTTCCACTGTCCTAGACAAAGGCTTCAGGACCTGTTCCTGCACCCACCCAAGGCAGGGAGGGCTAAGGCTCCATGCTGGATATTTAAATTTAGGGGCCTGCCTCCTGGGGTGACGATAAATACTCTCTGAGCTTAAAAAAAAAAAAAAATCCTTGGACGCAATAACTATGTTTTGTCCTTCACATTCCCTACAGCATCAAATGCTTTTCCTGGCACATGAAAGTCACTTAACAAATAATTATGGATACTGTATAAGTGCCAACAACGAGGCAGTATTCACAATGAGGTATTCACAACGAGGCCACAGAAGAGATACAATTTATAATACTGGTGGAACAACATGAAATTTTTAATCCTCTGCATGTCATTTTAGCGAATCTTAAAATATTTGAAGCATGTGAAAGCATCGAATAATTATCTTACCTGGATACATCCTTCGTCAATCTTGCCCCTTTCAGGATCAATTTTAAAATGTGCAGTTTTTTGAAAGCGGTACATCACAGGAAGTGAGTTGGATCGATTTTGCATAATACAAAGAAGCTCTGAATGTTCACCCATGAAACAAGGTGCAAAATTAAGGACCTTTCCTGGATCAAACTGTAGTAAGACAGGAAGTCCTGTGCCTGTCAGTGCTAATTCCACTTTCTGAAAATGATCACCTGTAGAAGCAATAATAGCTTTTTAACAAAAAAAGTGTTGGGAATCGGAATATATTTGCTCGGTCCAAATAGTGTCATCTGAAAGACCTGATGAGACATGGGTAGCCCATTTATTATATAAAATAGACACCGTTCCTGCTCTCGTGGTCTTCACATTCTAGGGAGGTGGCATTGACAATAAAATAAGGAAATATATAGCATTTCAGATAGGATAAGTGCTCTGGGGAAAAGTAATGTAGGGTGAAGGGGAGCACAATTTGTCACTCAAAAATATGCCTCTTTGGCATAAGGATTAGGTTTTTTTAAAAGATTTTATTTGTTTATTTGTCAGAGAGAGAGAGAGAGAGCCCGCACAAGCACAGGGAGTGGCAGGCAGAGGGAAAAGCAGGCTCCCTGCTAAGCAAGTAGCCCAATGCGGGGACTCAATCCCAAGACCCTGGGATCATGACCTGAGCCAAAGGCAGACGCTTAGCAAACTGAGCCACCGAGGTATCCCTGGCATAAAGATTATTTTAAGCTGACTACTGTTACGTAACAGCAAATACAGGAAAAGCTCCGAAAACTACTGGGAAGAAACTCTCATCAAAGAAGGCAGACACTTAAGTCTGCATAACAACCATACCCTCCCTTACTGTGACTTGAAAACCTCCCATAACTGGCTGCCACACTTCCACACCTTTTGTCTTTAGCTGGAGATGGCATTTAAAGTGATGGCTCCGGCCGTTTTGGGGAGTCACTCAGTTTTTCTGGGTCTCCCCCAGGTATACAGGAGACATACATGTAAACTTCTGTTTGCTTTTTTCCCCCTCTTAAACTGTCTTTTTTTTTTTTTTTAAAGATTTTATTCATTCGTGAGAGAAAGAAAGTACGAGAACAAGAGGTGGGAGAGGAAGAAGCAGGCTCCCCACCGAGCAGGGAGCCCTACACTGGGCTCCATCCCAGGACCCCAGGATCATGATCTGAGCTGAAGGCAGACGCTTAACTGAGTGAGCCACCCAGGTGCCCCCCCCTTCTTAATCTTTTATTAAGGGGGGTCTCAACCAAGATCCTAGAGAGGTAGAGGGGAAATTATTTTTCCTCTCCTACAAGGGTAAGACAGAGCACAATGTCTTGGGGCTGCTCTTTTATATGGGAAAGTCCAAAAAGGCCTCTCTTGATAGGGAGACATTTGAGCAAAAATATAAAGGAACTCAGGAAGAAAATCATGTGAAAATCCAGGAAAAGTGCATTCCAGACAGACAGAAGAGCAAGTACAAAGACTCTAAGGTAGGAATTTCCTTGGCATGTTCCAAAAACCCTAAGGGACCAAATATGGCTGGGTAAGAGTAGTAGAAGAAGGATGAGAAATGGTCATATTTAGGGGCGCCTGGGTGGCTCAGTTGTTAAGCGTCTGCCTTCGGCTCAGGTCATGATCCCAGGGTCCTGGGATCAAGCCCTGCATCAGGTTCCCTGCTCAGAGGGGAGCCTGCTTCTCCCTCTCCCACTCCCCTTGCTTGTGTTCCTGCTCTCGCTATCTCTCTCTCTCTCAAATAAATAAATAAAATATATATATAAAAAAGAAATGGTCAGATTTAACATATAGTTTTAACGGGAAACTTAACAAAATTTGCTGATGGACTGGATATAAAATAGGAAATTGAACACATGATAAATGGTGATGCTAAAGTCTTGAGCTTGAGCAATGGAAGGGATAGAATTGCCATTTCTTGAGACAGGAAAGACTGTAGGAGGGACAGGTTGTAGGGAAACCAGGAGGGTTTTTCTGGACATGTTAAGTTTGAGATGCCTAATAGATATCCAAGTGGAAACATCTGCTGGGTCACTTAATGTATTTACCAGTTTAGAGTAAAGACCAAGGAGGAAGTCTTGGAGGTTTGAGGTGAGAAGGGAAGGTATGTGATACTGATCTCATATTGTGAGAAAGTGAAGGAAAGGAGGAATGCAGCAGGAATGTCAACCATCTTAAAGGACCCACTTGGGGTTAGTGATTATAGAATAAAAAGTAAAACAGCACAGCATGGTTTTATGCTTTTCCCCAGCACAATTAGCTTCCCAGGTGCAGACCCAGGGTAGGCTAAGAGTTGAATTTACTCAGATTAGAGGTTTGCCACTCAGTCACTATAGGATACGGGCCAAGAAACTTAAGTGTACCTGGAAAAAAGGTGATTAAAATAATGGACAGGGGAACATAAGCTGGGCAATAACATAAACATGAAGTTTTGGAGACACCAGAGAGGAGGTAGGAACTATAAACTATAGGCTCTAATTGGGTGAATGAACAGTTTTACATGGAGAGCATTGTAACTAGAATTCAAAAGAAGATTGTGTATTTCTTCACTGAGGCTCTTACTAGCCAACCCTAGACTCTAAATTACCTTTAAGGCAAACCTACCATCTCCATCTCTGGCCATTCAAAACCAGATTAACTTGCAAGACTCAAACAAATCTTCTGTCTGTGATAGGCAGACAGAGCTCAAATCACAAACCATGACACAAATAGTAGAAATTTCTGTCCTGGGAAAATGGTGCAAGCCTGCTCAACGGTATCACTCATCCTGACACACAAATCTTCTCAACTCTTGACTTGCCATAGCTCATCTTTCTAGATCCAATCCCTCACCTGTCTCTATCTTTATTTTCTCTTTGATGTGTCTGGCTAAGCTGAACTCCAAGTCTTGCCATTTTCCTCACCACAGCCCATCTAATACTACCTGAGAATATTAAGAAGTACAATGCATCTCGACACGTGGCCTGCAAGGCATATGCACTTACCAATACCCCATAACAGGATACTGTACCCTATTTACTAGAGCTCCAGTTCTAGGTCTTGTCCTTTGACTGTTACTGAATGTAGACTCTAAGAGCTGAAGGCCTGGTAGAGATGGAATGGGTCGTTTGTTCCCATATTAATCTCTAAGAGAAAACATAGGCTTAAATGGGAAAAGAAGCCAGGTTGGTTTTTTTATTTTCTTTTTTCATTCCTTAACTCTAGATTATCATGTTTATCTAATGTCATTTAAAAATAATGAAGTCATCTAAATTTCAACTTGGAAAATTGTTATGTAAATGATTCTGAGCTTGACTTCTTTCTTAACATGCCACAAAAGACATTTTAAGGTCTCTTGAATGTTTGCATTTTTGTTCAATTCAATAATTATACACTTTTATTAAATTGCCTCTAGAAACATGATATCCAAACTCTTAAATAATTTAAACTGCTATACATTTGATGCTTATGTTCATTTCGCACTTACTTTTGATGGTTTTACTGTTATCATCCCTCAAAAATCCACCTTTACTTCCCACAGAGTCAAATCTCAAAAAGAGAGCATAGTCCTGCCTGTGTGAAGGATCATTATTCTTTTTACCATCAGTCATTAGCCTGTAAAAAATTACAATCAATTATTTTGAAGGCAAAGATGATGCACTCTATTACCTCTCAATAGGAATCAACCCAATCCTTAAATCTATGCAAACAGATGAAAGTTCAGGAATAAAAATATAATTGTGATCTATTTTCCAAAATTACTGCCCAGATACAGAGACTTGCCAAAAGAAGCCCACAAAGTGTAAAGATTCAGAAAACGGTTTCATGACAACATCTGCAAGACAAAAGTAATTTAAATATACTAAGTTGTAAAGGTCCAGCTCCAGTGTCACTTTCTATGTAAAGGATTTTCTTTCCAAGCCAAGTTCATTGCTAGCTAAGGGTTCTGTTCAATTCTCTAGTTCAATAGTCCTTCTTACCTTTGGGTGTAACTGCAAATTTCTGTTCCATATCTCTCTTGCCCTGTGGACTAAGCACATGTTGCTAGCCACATTCTCCATATTCTTAGAGAACAAGCGATTTGGAGAACAAGATTTGGTAACAGCCAAATCTTGTCAAAGGAGAAAAGGAAAGGAAAGACGGGAAGAGGGAAGAAGGACCAAAGTCAGAGACGGGTTACCTCTAGACCTGCGTGTTGACTGTCTTTACTTGCTTACCTAGAGGGCAGCTATTTTAGCAGGGGATACTCAAATATACACACACAAAAAAGACTGATGTGAAATATTACACAGGAATGCAAGTAGCATGTTAAAAACGTATTTAACTAAGACTTCCAATCATTATCATATCTGTGAGTTTATGCTAGACTTTCACAAAAAACATGCTGCCATGAAAAAGAATATTTAGAATTTCAAAGATCGTGTGCTAAACAGAATCTTCTATGTTGGCCAAGAAATTACCTGCAGGAAAATATGATTCATGAGGCAATTACAGATTGTACAAATAGAACAATTACTTGATTTATTACCCTCTTTAAATTAAAATACAATTCAGTCTCCACCAATCGGTATCATCACCAAGCGACCCTGTTGCCACATAGAGAAGTACACTGAACAGTGCCTCCTCACAAAGGTAAACATCCAGTTGGATCGATTATTTGCCGCACCCGGCCACCTCTCAAGTATAGCTGAAATTGTTCCTATGTATTTAAAATAGCATTTCCAAATATATTTTCAAACTAAATAACCAAACCAAGTACAGAGAATTATGAAAAATACACATTGACAAAAGTCCTACAAGTCTGTATGAATTTCGGCAAGCAAGTGTGGTGCATCCCAGCAGCTGCTATAGGGCTTACTCTTCATGCTCCTTAGCAAGCATCTTGCTGTGGCAAGAGCCCTGCATCCTCTTTGGAGGCACTGACACACCCTGCCTGCCACTGGCTATCCGCTATTTCTGCAGGGACAACAAGGTCTTGTTGCACAGATTCGTCTGGGCCCACAATGCAAAACCACACAGAACTTCCGCTTCTACAAGGTCTGAAGAGATTTGTAATCGAACAGGAAATATTTAGAACAAAAATCTTACATGTTCGAAATCATATTAACCATGGTAGAAACATTGAGAGCCATAATAAGAAAAATCTGATCGGTGCCTTCTGACCAGTTTTACTGTTAAAGTCAGTTTGATGAATGTATGATTGACATGCTTTTGATTAATAAAAAACACCGTAACTGAATTTTTGCTTACTTTGGGCTGAAACAAAATGTAATTACAATCTTTTGATAAGGTAGTAACCTCCCTTCATTAGGAACACAGGAGATAAAAGTGGTAACATCCATGTTCTTTATTTTGCTTAAGTAGGTGAGATTATTTAAGGCAATATCTGTTCTTTGTCGAATATTTGTGCCCTGTAATATAAAATCAGACATAAAAAGAATATTAAGGCAGAACACAAATAAAATATCTTAAGAGGAGATCATAACATAATTGTTGAAATTTTAGTCTAGAAGATCGAGAATATGAATGTCTTTAAAGAAACATACATAAATTTGACCAAGGCACATCATAAAATTAAAGGAACTACTGAAAAATTGATGAGAACAGAAATCCCCACAACTAGCTGCTAACCTAAAAGAAGCACTTGTCTGGTTTACTTCAGATATATATCACTATCAGTGTTAGTTTAATTTACAGAATTTTTTGAGGTTACCCTTGAAGACACATGAAAGGGAATCATATCTATCCGCATATTAAAATGTACTTAGAATAATTTAACAGCTTTTTTGGTTATTAGTAAATTCAAAACAATCTGTTTCAAAACATAATACCCGATTTTCCCCTGTTGCACTATTTACTTACCAGTTCTTCTCCAACTGAATCATTTTGCATTATGGCCACCCAGTTTATGGGTTCTGGGCTATTATTGTATAGACGTGCATGTTCAATTTTTGAAGTTCCAAAGAAAACTGAACCAAAGTGTATGCATTCCAACTTTTTGTCATTACTCATGTTTAACAACTCAATAATCTGCTCAACCACATGAGCTTTGACACTCAAGAGTATATCTGGACGACCTTGCAAACTCACTCTACAAGATAATGAATTATACATATATATTTTAATTAGAATTCTATATACTTAATTTCTCTCCTATATATTTGAATAAACAGAAATTTTATAACATCACATTATAATTAAAATTCAAAGGCCTAAGAGCACCGCCATCTCTTTGCCTCTACATTGCCTCAGCTCTCTCAGTGTGTAACACTGTCTATTTACCTGCAGGATTTCAAGTCTTCTACTTGCTCAGCCTGAAATTACTCTTCTAACCCACCCCCATCACCAACACCCACCTCCCCTATGCACGAACACACACACACACACACACAGCTCAAATCACACCACTGCTCTTTGCCGGGCTACTTCCTACTCACCAGTAAGTGTTTGGGTACACTATCCCCTCCTTAATGGAGCCCTTTCCTGATCCACTCCCTCACCCCCACAAAATCCCAGTCTCTAGTGCTTGGCAAATAGTAGAGACTCAGCAAATGAATGCTGACTGAAAGAACAAAGAAGCTAATATACATTCAAGACAATAGGCATATCTGAAAAGTAAAACAGGAAAGTATTAAGAACTACATTAGAATTAAGAACCATAGTATATGCTTACTTTGCCACTTCATTTACAGTTCTGGGCTGGTCAGCACAGAAATCCACTTTAACAATCACTGATGACTTGGGCTCCACAATACCATTACTCGGAAAAATGACAATGGGTAATTGGCCCTGGTATTCTGCTTTAAATGTACCTAAGGAGAACAAGAGCAAATGGTTTACATCTGGATCCTTACAGTGTCACAGTCACATCCTTAATAGGAGACAGGTGTCTGTCTTACAGACAATAGACTTACACAATAGACTATACACTTACAGAGTGAAGAATCACAGCTTTGATTATAATTTTAGTCTCTGGGGTCACCCAACAAATGTGAACTGATTGTTAGGACTCAAGCTTCATTGATAGTTAAAATATACTATCTGCTTCCAATGGTCAGGCACATATGCTAAGAGCTTTGTATATGTTACTCCATGTAATCCTCAGAGTGATTCTATGATATAGGTTCAATCATTACCTCCATTTTATAAATAAGGAAAAAAAGCTTAGAATGGTTGAGTGATTTGTCCAAAGACACACAACTATTGTGGTAGATTACACAGTTGACCCCAATTCTTCACCCTTCTCTGCATCTTACCATGACGCTACCAGGGACAAAGTATGTTTTCCTATCCCTTGACTTGGGGCCTGACCACGTGATTTGCTTTGGCCAAGTGTGTGGGTTGAAGTGGCAACATGCCAGCTCCAATGCCACATGTTCTCTTGCACCTCTACCATGTAAAGTGCTTGAGTAGCTGCTGTCCCTTTGGCCTGTGCTTCAGAATGAGCACACGTGGAACAGAGCCTCCAGCTGACTCACAGACCTGCAGTGAGTAACAGAACATCCCCAACCGCCTAAGTTTGAAGCAGAGCTACCCAGCTGAGCCCAGCTTAGATCAGTCAAGTTCCAGCCAATCTGCATACAAATGAACAATTAAAAAATAATTGCCTTTTAAGATACAGAACTGTGTGTGTTTGTTACATAGCAATAGTTGACTACTACAGTTAGAAACTAATAGGGCTAGGATTTTCACTTGCATGTTTCTGACCAAAGGGCTCACATTCATAGCCACTGCCACTTCTCTCTCTCTCTCTTTTTTTTAATATTTATTTACTTATTTAAGTAAACTCTACACCCATGGAGGGCTGGAACTCCCAACCCCGAGATCAAGAGTCGCCTGCTCTACCAACTGAGCCATCCAGGAGCCCCATGACTTCCTGATAAATGAATTAATGCAGTTCACATGGGGAAAGGGCAAAAGGAATGGGTTTCTAGAATCAAACAGCATAGGAGAAGGAGGCTAGAAATATGTCTTATTCTGAAAACAGAAATGGTTCATAATTGATAGTCATGTTTAGTACCTGTATTAGAGCATACATTCCTTGAGATCACATACTATGTCTTCCTCATCTCTATGATTCCAGCACCCTACACAGTGCCTAGCACCAAGTGGTACTCAAAATATGTCTAACAAATGGAAGTAGCCAGTCACGAGTTTCCTTAATCTCATAATGCAATATAAACACAAATAAGCATGCTGCCAACATAAACTACTTTGCAAATTCCAATTCACCAATTTTAAATCACATTTGATGAAATTTTCCAAAATTACTCAATTCACTTAGGAAAATAAAATATTAGCATAATAAAAGTACTGAAAGTATAAAAAGGCAATAAGACTTTTCTAAGTACAGAGATGATCTGATGAAAAAGTCAAACAAACTCACAGTAACAAAATTTATTCATCCGATCATTTTAGAGAAGTGCTAATAACATGATATTTAAGAGGTTTTTCTGTCATAAAACAAAAATCTGTAAAATTATATCCATTTCAAATAAATAGGTATTATTGACTCAATTCTCCAGAAAAGGAAAATTATGTGAGTCTAGTTAAGGCTGAGTCAGTGAGATATGCCTAGACTGTAATCACTTTGATGTAATTTGACAAAAGAATTTAAGTGAATATTTCAAAAGTTTATTTAGGAACAACCCCAAAACCAAAAGAACATCGTTCAATCTTCTAAATATATTAAAACAGTGGCTACACAAATATTACTGTGTCTTATATAACTTTAATGCCACTAGCAATAATGAAATATTTGACTTTTATTTTTAAATTACTGACAATAGAAGCAAGGACATCATCCTAAGGGAAGGGTGTCATTGAAGGAAGGATGTTACAGAAGGCATTTGTCATCAAATTTTCATTTCTTTTTAGATATGACACTGGCTGATGTTTGGAGAGTGAACTAGAAGGAGATAAGGGACTTCAGAGAAATAATTTCAGTTGGTGTAATTACCAAGCAAAAGAAGATGATGGCCTGTTGTAGAGAAGTGGCAATGGGACAGAGAAGAGAGGATTACTGACATAATTAGAAAGTTGAATAGACAGGATTTAATAATTGACTAAGGGGGTAGGAGGTGAAAAGAAGGAATGAGTCAAGGATTTTGCTGAGTTTCTGACTTGCCCAAATACATGGTGGTGACATTTAATGAAAAGGAGAAAAGGAGAAGTTTTGGGGAAAGGTGAGGAGCTTAGTTTTAGACAATGTGAAGTTTGAGAAACCTGAAGGAAATGCAAAGGATTGTATAGACCTCAGTGAACTGACAGGAATGGAAGTGATTGCCTAGAGGGAGTGTGTTGACTGAGGGAATATGTGGGTCCGTGGCAAATTCTAAGAAACGCTTATATTTAAGGAATGCCCCAAAAAGGGACAGCAATCCACAGAAGAGAATTGAAGAGGAGGGAGGCAGTAGAAAAGAATAATTCTAACATCAATAGTAAATATTTATTGAACACTTACTATATATCAGAGAGTGTGCTAAGCATTTTATCAATCATCATCACAATTAGAGGAGGCAGGCATTACGTTTATCTCTACAATGGATGCTCCAGAAGTGTAAATTCCTTGCCTGGGGCCACCCAGACAGTAAATGTTATAAGAATTTGGGTCCTGGAAGACCTCACTCCAGAACCTGAGCCACTATTTTATATAAGGTACTAAGGAGTCATAGAAGCCGAACTTTTGGCTTTTGTTTTTTTTTTAAGATAACACCAGTGGTCACCTGTGTCAAATGTTGCTAATTAAGTCATGCAAAATAAACACAGCCTTGTCCACTGAGATTTAGGAGAGCACAGGGCATGTGAGGCTACCCACAGTTGTGGCTGGGATGACAGATTCTTTGCACAAACCTGTACATTTTTGAAATCTGAGTTGCTCTACCTTCCCTAGAGAAGCAGCTCAGTCATTGGGTGATGAAGTATATACATTGTTACCTTGCCTTTATTTTTCCAAAATTCTTTTAGAAACTATGAGGTAGATTTTTGCGTAAAAGTATTTGTAGTGTTTTTTTTCCTTCCCTTCCCCTACGTTCATCTGTTTTGTTCCTTAAAGTCCATGCAAACCATAAGGGACGCTGAACTCTAGGAAACACACTGAGGGTTGCTGGAGAGGAGGCCAGTGGGGGAATGGGGTAACTGGGTGCCGGGCATTAAGGAGGAAACGTGATGTAATGAGCACTGAGTGTTGTATACAACTGATGAATCACTAAATTCCACCCCTGAAACTAAAAAAAAAAGAAAAAAGAAAAAAGAAAAAAAATTTGTAATATCAAGCCAGGGCAAACAGTCTATAGTTTTACAGCATTCTACTGAAAATCAAGAGTCACATACCCAAGGTCATTGTTATTTCCTATGTATGCTTTTTTTTTTTTTTTTTAAGTTTCCTTGAATCTAAGCATAGCAAGGATATACCAGTCTTCATATGTCTCCAAACGACCGTTTTGGAGACTCTTCAGAATGCCCATATGGGATTAAACAGGTTACTTGTAAGTTCAATCACCTTTCATTGAAAGCTTAAGGGTTTGGTTTTTTTTTTATGTACTAAAATGACAAATCAATTTCTTCTTTTGTAATATCCTGGTCAAATTATTTTTAGAATTTTTTTTATTCAAGTTCAGTTGACATATAATTAATGATTCTTTTCTGAAACTCTGAGAGATCACTGAACCAAATCTATTACACAAAGGTTTATAGAATATCTGCTGTATGCTAGCATTGTATTATGCAAGAACTGTAGATTGAGATTCCATGACAGCAGTTTCCAAGAAAACAAAAAATATGTATTGAGAATAAGTAGTGGGTGCTTCTCTGAGTAGTTAAGGAGGATTCCAAGGACCAGTCCTGGAGTTGGTCCAATTTAGCAAACTTCCTGGTTCTTAGATGATGTTAGTCTTTTCTAGACTGTGAAGTAGAGAGATGATGCTGATGATCAGGGAAAGGGGGAGAGTGGGCATTAAGAGCAAGAGAAAGGTCATACCTTTTGGGCAAAATAACCCAAATAAACCACTGTTCAAACACAGAAATGGTGTGTGATGATCACACTAGGAACTTTAAAGACTGTTCTACATCATAACTCTCTAGTAGAAAAAGTCTTCTCAGATAACCTTGAGGTTACTGAGGGGAAGAGGGAAATGACTGCAGTTCCAGGCATGCTAAAATAATAATGCTTTTTCAATGATGTTTTAAAAGATAAAAACTGAGAAATAATAAAATCACAGAACATGGAGTTCACCAGCTCACAAAGTACTAATAGTAGAGACTTATCTTAAAGAGTGAGCCATGTCTTCAAAATGAAAAGACAAGCACTACTTTGCACAGTAAGGAGTAAACTCAGGAAACACAGAGGGTGAGAAAACAAAATGTATTCAACAATATTTGGCTAAATCCATGGATAATTACTCCATAATGAGCCATTAAAATAAAAAAATCATGAAGTTGTTATACAGATCAACTAATAACCCCAGTGTCACTGCCAGAGAGAGAAAACAAAGCTGCACATACCATGAATCTGCTGAGTGTGGCTTTCTAATGTCCTCTTAAGTATGCATATAAATTTATAAACATTTGATCTTTGACTCTAAAACTATAAAATATTTGTCACGTAAAACCCTTTTTAAAAATTTTATTAAAATCATCTTTGGTTGCTAAATCTATTTTCTGCATAAGTGTTTTTCCTCATGAAAATACATTGTTATTCTCATGAATATTTATATACTGTGCTTGTAGGTAATGAGGGCTTTATGACACCTTACAGGCACTTGCTACTGTGAATATAAAACATAGTATCAATTTTGCTAATGGTGGAAAAAATAATATCATTCAAGTCCAAGAATGAGAAACAAAGTCAACACTAAGAAAATGTGTTTCACTGATAACAATTTGCTTCAGTTTGTAAGGTAATAGTAATTAACATTTCATGGTACTCAATTATAATTTACAAATTGTAGTACTCATTACAATACATGCACATACAAAATATTAATATAATACTAAAAGCCAAAGTGGATTACTTTTCCTAAAATGAATGGGTCTACATCTGAGGCTTAATTTTATTTACTTTATTTTATTAAGTAAAATAATTCTAAATATTCATTTAAAATTAAAACCACATATACTTGTTACTTATAGAGAGCTTTTATATGTAATGAAACTGTATAGTTTGGTGATATTTTACAATAAAGAGAGGATATGAGCAAAACTTTGAAGGATTTGAAATGTACAACAGTTAAGAGAGATTTTGGAAAATAAATAATAAAAATAAAATCATCTCAATTACATACCATACCTGTTCTAAAAAAATAGAGAGTCTAAAGGACCATACAGCCCATAATCACTAGCCATGAGAGACCCTATCCTTAACATTGGAGTCAGACCACAAACGAGTCTACTATTGTACAATCCCACAGGCATCAGAAATTTAATCATTTAAAAACCAAAGCATGGAAAGTTGAAATGAGCAACATTCGGTGAGGAACAATTATCAGTTTTATTTGTTTAACCCCAGGAAGAAATCAGTACAGTGACAAACTGCCTTTGTCTTAATAATTCCCATTGCTCAATCAAGCAGCCCCAGAGAACATCCTCACTTAGCAACAAACAGGTTTGGAATTAAGACCCGTTTTCTGTATCTGAGAAGCAGTTTCAGAAAAAAATGCCCTCCCCACGTGGAGCTGGTCCGCATATCAGCTCAGCAGAAATGGAAGCCTTGCCAGCCCAGATGCTGACCATCCAACAGGACAATGAAGGGATAAGTGATTTTAATATCTACTGTATACCATCAGTGAAGAGTGTGCATGAACACACACACAGAAAGACACACACACCTTTATGGAAATTCTTTGGTCACAGTAAAAATCTCTAGAAATAATCCAGTCTGGGGAAAAGCATTTACTCTTTCAACAAAAAGTGAGTAAGAGCTTTCTAGAGACCATCATGTAAATTCAAAGTTGAATACGATAGAGAAAAAGAACAAATATTTACTGAGCGCCAATGATGAGTCAAGTACCATCCTACAACCATAAGTACATACAAAATTAACCATAGTTCATTTTATTAACCACAGTTTATAAATGAGAAATATCAAGTTCAATGTCCTAAAAGATACTTGCCCCAGATCACACAGCTAGTAAGGCACTGTGCCCTGATTCTATCTCTGGATGGCTCACTCTGAGGACTAAGTCACTCCCATAACACTATCCTGCCTTCTGTCCTCAGGGAGATCACCAGTCACCTGGGAGTCAGCTGTTAATCAGAATCATAAGGAGACACTCATCTTTCCTGAATTATTATCTATCAGTCTTTTACAGTCATCCTATTTAAGGGCCTTCAGTTTTGAGCTATTTCAAATGACAGACATCTTTTTGGGGGGAGGGGGAGGAGGACTGAATCAGAGACTCCATTAATTATACAAGGTATACATTTTATTTTTTTTAAAGATTTTATTTATTTATTTGACAGAGAGAGAGATAGTGAGAGCAGGAACATAAGCAGGGGGAGTGGGAGAGGGAGAAGCAGGCTTCCCGTGGAGCAGGGAGCCCGATGCGGGGCTCGATCCCAGGACCCTGGGACCATGACCTGAGCCAAAGGCAGACGCTTAACGACTGAGCCATCCAGGCACCCCACAAGGTATACATTTTAAATAATACCAACTTTCTTCCAAAAATGTAAGTTAATTTATACGACAGAAAGTATTTACCTGGAGCTCTGCCATGGTTAATGATATTAATCTCTTTACAATATACTTTACTATCAGAAACCAATGTGCCAAAATTAACTTCTGACTCAATTTCCAACTGACAGGATGGAATCAACCTAGGAGAAGAGAAGACAACATAATTAAACAATTATACCCTCATACTTAAATCCACAGGGGGACGGACGTACAGAAACACTTTTATTAATTCCTTGTAAGACATTCATCTTTCCTTACAAGTCTATTGATGGCATATTTGTCAGTAAAAGGAACTGTGAAATAAAGACATAAAAGATGAGATACATTTTTAACAAAGAAATTAGACTTTATGCATCTAAGGACATGGTATACCCTCTGAAGTACTCACCTCGACAGGCTACCCACATATCTCAGTATCTTTGCTGCTCCAAGCATTTTTGGAATCTCCACCTAAGCCTATAATACATTCCTTTGCCCCCTCCTCAAAAAGGGTGGAATTGATCTTAACAAAGTAGTTTGGATGACCCAAATCTGATGAAATAAAAGAAGGTGCTATGCTATAAAATGCCATTTGGGAACTAAAACAAGGCCTAAGCACAAAAAGATACAATTGATTTTTCATGTGTCTCTAACTTAAAAGGCTCACTGTGGCACATCTATATCATATGTTTCATACACATTTTTAAAAATCCATTATAATCCTGTATGCATGTCTCATGAGGTTACATATGTTTTATGTATGGATAATTTATAACTTATAAACATCATCAGGTATATTATCCTGTTTGATACTTAAAATTTCATGAAAAGGAAGTAAATATTATTATGGCTATGTTACAGATGAAAAGCCAAAGACTTCAAAAGCCTCAATGACGTACCTGAGAAATTATTTGGATATAATACTGGTGAACTTAGCCTTTAATCTATTCTGTTACATTTTGAATACATTACCCTTACAAACCTAACAATGATAACAGCATCAATAATAAACAGAGTAATAACTGATCTTTATTGAGTCCTTAGGTTAGGTACCAGACACATGAATTAAGTAATTCACTCCACACAGGATACAACCTCCAAAATATAAATACATACACACAGACACACACACATAAATAAAAATACCTGAACAAAACATTCACAAATACTGCTTTATGCACTGGTGGTGTGGGCCTTCCTTCCGTATGTTTATATGTGAATGTTTGTGTATTATCAAATATGTAGAGACATTCCAGAGATCAGTCAGGACTGTCCTGTATAGGCTGCTTCTTTAAGCTATACCCATGTTCTTCTCATAAAGACCTTGTAATTTTGTAATAGGAAAAGGAAAGATCAATGACCTTAGTGTACATCATTGCACTAATAGAGTTTACAGGATGTAAAAGAAGAAATCGTTATACAAACAATATAAGATATGAAGTCGAACATTTTTTCAAACTATTTCTCTAGCTGGATGCAGAAAAGTGTCTTAAGAATAATTTCTTAAGAGTCAACACACAACACACAAACACACACACACACACATATATGTATATGTACATGCATATATAAATAGGAGTAAGGGCTTGCTAATACAGTAATATTATAACAGTTTTTCTGGCTTTCCTGTTGATTTCTCTTCCATCTGATTAAAAAAAGTCCAATAACATTTTTCTTTTTATGTTAACAGAGAATTTACGTTAAGAGACAAGAGAAGGGAGCACCTGGGTGGCTCAGTGGGTTAAGCGTTTACCTTCACCTCAGGTTATGATCCCAGGGTCCTGGTATTGAGTCCCATGTCAGGCTCCCTGCTCAGCGGGGAGTCTGCTTCGCCCTCTGCCCCTCCCCCCACTCTTGTCCCCCCCCCCATGTGCTCTCTCTCTCTCAAATAAATAAAATCTAAAAAAAAAAAAAAGGACAGAAAGAGAGAGACAAGAGAAGGGTGGTTACCAGGGG